CCGTTTATTTTCTCTGATTTCTCCTTCCAGTGTCTTGTAGTTTCCAGTGTATGGATCTTACGCGTATTTTGTGAGATTTGTACTTGAGTACGTCGTCGTATTTGGTGTTGAAAAGGTCCTGCTAAAGTCTCCATCCAGCAGTTCACTGGTGATGTAGAGAAATATGGTTTATTCACCTTGTGGTTCCTCCACCACCCAGCACAATGCTGAATGAAAGTGGTGACGGGAGACGGCCTGGCCTTGATCCCACGTCAGGTGTGGAGTCCCCCGCTGCCCGGGAAGCGTGACGCTGCTGTGGGATGTTTCCGCCCACGTGCTTCCCCAGCCTGCGGGCACCCTGCTTCACGGCCGTCCACAGAGACTCTGAATCCTGCACTTTGTCAGGTGCCTTGGCCAGATGGCTCCTCACCTGTCGTCTGCCGATACAGATACGGCGAGGTTCTTGTGGTTGAACTGGCCTTGCCTTCCCGTGACAAACCTGGTCACGGTACGTGGGCCTTCTCCTTTGTCCTTGGACTGTGCTGCAGAGATTACTTGCACTTTCTTGTGACACTGTGCCCTGCTTTGGCACTGGGGTCGCGCTGGCCTCCTGGCAACCATCCTGGAATCGGGGTCACGGCCTCCTGCAACAGTGAGGGTGCCTCCACCCACCCTCTGGAGGAGTTTGGGTGGAGGACGTGCCTGTTTTCCCCGCGGGCAGGACTCAGCAAGGAGGCCGTCGGCGTGGCGGTCCTGCGCTCACGCGTCGGGGGGCTGCCAGCAGCACCTCTGGCCATAGGGAAGCACGGGTGGGGCGCGCGCCCGCCCGCATCCTCACCAAGCCCCTCCCTGCAGGTATGAGGCGGAGCTTAGCCCCGTGGACCAGAAGCTGAGCGCGCTGCGGTCTCCGCTGGCCCAGAGGCCCTTCTTCGAGGTGCCAACCGGCCTGGGCGCCGTCGAGCTATATGAGTACGAGCGCGGGGGGGGTGACGACCTGCCACCCTCGTGACCTGTGGCCTCCGTGGGGCGTGAACGCGGCCTCTGCCTCAGGAACAGAACTGTGTGCTTGTTGAGCCCTTTTACAGAAAGTGAAGTGCGTTTGTATGGAGAGACCTTATTTATTCAGCACAGAAGCTGGCCAGAGACGGTCACGGTCACTGAGGCGAGTCCCCACCCGCCCCGGAGGAGCTGACGCGCGTGCGAGAGCCCCAGGCCCGGCCTGGCGGCGAGAACGCACGCGCCCCAGCGTCCCCAGCGGTCAGGGTGACCTTGGCCCCGCTGTCCAGCTCCCAAGTGTAGGTGTTTGCAGGCTCGCGTCGTCTGGCTGAGCGGCACCCAGGCGCCGCCCCAGAAGATCTGCCTGCAGTCGTGGATGTGCGCTGACTTCGGGGAGGGTTGTGGTCGTCAGGAACATTCCAGGAGCCCCGGCGCCTCCATCCCGTGGGCGCCCCCGCAGGGGCCACTGTCCCGGCCGCAGCTTCTCCCCCAGAGGGAGCGCCCACGTCAGCGTATCTTTTACTGTTTTTGTGTAAATATACAGCATATGTAAAGTTGAGTTTTATTTGCCGTGCAGAGCAGTTTAAAAATGTTTTATGAGATCACGTTTGTATTTTCAAATAAAGAATTTAAAGATTTTCAGCCCCAGGCTCACCTTGGGACAAAAACGGACACAGCGGCCGGGGATTCCGAACTCAGGTCACAGAGGGATGTGGGGACAGACGGTGGTGTCACTGTGGGGAGACTGCAGGGTGTGGTGGACCTCAGGGCAAGGAGCCGGGGGCGCAGGTCCCAGGCCCTGGGCCCTGGGGCTCTCACAGCCTGAGAGAGCTCTGGCCACAGTGGTGGGGCTGACACCACCCGGATGGCCGCTCTCGCCCGCGGTCACTTCTGACCTGTGCGTGAGGGAGCGCGAGCCTTCCTTGCAGACACCATGGGAGGCCCCGAGGCCCACCCTCCACGCCCCTTGGGCCACCCCCGGGTCTGCCCGGCTGAGTCGGCACCAACCTGAGACTTACGGGGAGGGCGCGGCCCGCGTGTCCAAGGGGAGGTGGCCGACGAGCCCCCTGCCCAGGCCAGGAATAGGTCGTCTAAGGTCTGGGCGCTGAGCAAACCTCAGGGAATGAGTCTGTCCACCCTGCAGCTGGGCCCGCGGCTCTGGACAGAAGACGCGCCCATGGCAGGGCCGGCGGTGAGAGGAGCCGGCCCCCGCATAGCCAGACCATGTGGGGCCACACAGGGCCGCAGGCACCACTCGCCGAGCCCCACGGACGGGAGCAGGGCCAGCTCTGGCACCTGCCTTCCCAGCCGGGCAAGGCGACTGGCCACTGAGGAGGCTGGGGGCAGGCGGGTCCCCAGCTGAGGGTCACACAGCCCTGTCCAGGGCAGGGGCCGCCGTCACCCGCCCTGCAGCCTGGGTGTCCCGAGGCCTGGGTCATCAGCACACGCTGGCCCCTGGGCCCCTGGCGATGGAGGAGGAACTGCCAACGTGAGCTCCGGCGGTGTGGCTCGCCTTCAGTCAGACCCGGCCCACAGACAGACAGGACAGGTGCTCAGGACATGTGGACAGATGCACAAACGTTAGGGCCCGGGACCGACAAATACGGGGCCAGAGGTCGGCCTGGCTGCCCACAGGGTGGTTCCCAGTCAGTTCAAGGACAGTTTGGCAAGTCCCCAGAAAGCAGACGGGGGACCCTCACCTGCCATGGCTGTTGGGGCCATGAAGACAGCCTGGGGCAAGGCCAGCTGCACTCCTGCCCGGAGCCCCCTCCTGGGCTGGTGCACTGACCACACGGGGTCTGCACAAGGTGCCCCAGAGGGGGGCACCTCTGCTCCTAAAGGGCCGTCCCAGGCCCATATTCACCGGGGCCCTGGCAGCACTGCCCCAGCCCAGAGTCAGGAGGGACGCCAGACCCCAGGGCGCCCCCGACCCTGTGGTCTGAGCCACGTGAGCCTGGGTGCACGCCTGAGGCACCCGAGCGAGCCCCAGTCCACACCTGGGGTATCAGAGCACCTGGGGTGGCTCAGTGGGGCCTGGGCCACCTGACAACCAGCCAGCCACTGGTGATGGTGCATACAGTGGCCCCGGGTCACTGGGACCAGGGCCTGGATCCCTGGTGCTGACTGCACAGGGGCCCCTCCCATCCCCACGCTGGGCTCAGGTCTCAGCTGGGAGACACCAGCGGCTGCAGAGTCCCACCTGCTCCCTCGCTGCCCACCAAGTACCCACAACGCAGGGGACGCCTCACCTGCTGGACTGGGGACCCTGCAGACGGTTCTGGGCTCCCCGCCGACCACGGAGGTGCCGGCCAGGGGGTCCAGGTGGAGCTCGTCCCCGCGGGCAGCTCTGCAGTGGCAGGAGTGGTCAGCCACGGTGGCCCAGCAGGGCTGCTGCTCCCCCGCACCGAGGCCGCTCCCTGTTCTGAGGACATCCGCCTCTCACCCCCCTCCCCGCCTCGCCTCCCCACAGACCCCTTGGGGGCGGCAACGGGTTGACGACAGGCTGCACGCCCCGCTCCCCAAAGGCCTGCACACCCTCGGGGATGGACTCCCACAGGTGGGCGAGCCTGCAGCAACAGGGTACCTGGATGGGGACAGGGGAGGGGACCCCCCAGGAGCCCACCTGTGCCCCCTCCCCACGCTCACAGCGGCGAGGACGCAGTGCGGGGACACGGAGGCTCGGGGGCGGGGGAGCGCCCTGCCCCTCAGGAATCCCCCCCGGCCCTCCTCACTACGGCGCTGGCTGGGCACTCACGCTCTGCCAGGATCCTGCGGAACTGGCCGAGCAGGAGTAGGACGCCGAGGTTGGGGACGCGCTGGTGGCTGTGGTCCTCCTCTGTCCTTCCCCTGGGGCTCCGGGGCCTCGGGCCTCCGGGAAGGCGAAGGCCTGCCCATCCCTGGGGGCGGGGCTCAGGGAGAGGGCGGGGCTTATACAGGATGGACCCAGAGGAGGGGGCGGGGCCAGTGTGGGTGGGGCCAGGTGTGGGCGGGGCTCGGGTGGAGGGGTGAGGCTTAGAGCCAGGGTGGGTCCAGGGGAGGGGCGGGGCTTCTAGGGCGGGGCCAGAGGTGGGCGGGGCTCAGAACTTGGCAGAGCTCTGGTGGGAGGAGACGAGCTCAGAGAAGTGGGCGGGGCTCAGGCAGAGGGGCGGGACCTAAGCAAACCTGTGCACCCGGTGGGTGGCGTGAGCACCAGGCTGTGAGCCAGCAGCCGCGTGGAGTAGCAGGGGATGCAAATGAACTCAGTGGGGTCGCTGCCCAGGCTGTATGTGTCCACGGACGTGCGGGGGTGTCGGGGCCCTCCCGTGTGCAGGCGTGGGCAGTCTGGGGGCACCCAATATGCCAGGGTCCGGGTGAACCTGCAGGGGTGGGAGGAGGCAGTGTCCCGGGTCTGGGGATCCGTATCTGCATGTTTTACCAAGAGAAGCCATCGCGGCCTTGACCCCCCTTTCCTTCCAGGGGAAGGGGGTGGGTCTGCTCACCCCCAACAGAGGCTGGAAAGCCTCTGTGCACCCTGGCCACACCCACAGGCCTGTGACCGAGGTCTGAGCCGGGTCACAGGGATTCGGACCCCAGACCTGCCTGGGACCTCCCCTGGCCCCCATACTTCAGGGGAGTGGGCCGGTGTCTGGATCAGGTTGTCAACCAAGACAGCAGGGCAGAGCCCACTCTCCAGGTGACCCAGGTTCAAGACAATCCAGAGAAGAATCCGGAGGAGCCTCCCCACCTCCGCCTCCCGCAGAGGCGAAGTAATGACAGGGTCCCGGGAAACAGGCGTGTGGTCAAGGGAAGGGTGACCCACAGGCTGATGCTGTGCAGGTGAACGGGGACCCCTGAGGCTGGGGACACAGGGCCGGGGTGGGGGCACAAAACCACAGCAACACACACACACGGAGGCCACTGATCCACGGCCGAGATGCTGGGGGCAGGGTCTGCCTACATCCAGCTACACCCGCACCGGCCACGTCACCTCTGATCCACAGACGCCCTCACAGCCTTTCAACACGACGACCCAGATGGAAACCCAGTGACCAGGGGAGACGCTCACGACTCATTACCAAGATAGAAGAGCCCGCATGGGGCCCGACGTGGCCACCAACGCCGGACACTCGGTTCTTGGAATTTGGGGATCGTCTGGACGTTTTGGGCTACTCCACAACGAGAAAGAAACCAGGCTGTTCCCGCCCAGGAGCAAAATGCAGGAAACCTAACGTGAAACCCGAGTGTGAAGATCTCAGCATCTGCAGAAATGGGGAGGCGGGTCGCCACGTCGCTGCAGGACGCGGAGGGTAAAGGGCGTCTGACGGCTGTGCAGGGCAAGCTGGGCACCCGGCCCGGGCACAGCCCTGGATCCTGAAGGACCCGTGCTGGCCGGGAACGCCCACCCAGTGCTCACCAGTCAAGAGAGGGGCTCCGTCCCGGCCCTTCCTGAGAAACCGCCGCAACGTGCGAGTGACAGGGGGTCAACCCCCGAGAGGGAAGAATCTGCAGTAGCAGCAAGAAAGCCTGGGGCCCAGGGGCTGCAGGCTGTCCCCACCAGGGCTCAGAAACGGTGCCGAACCCAGACGAGTGGACAGGGTGAGAAGAACAGCACCATCTCCCCCAAGACGCTTTCAGGACCGAGACCAGGTTGGCCCCCGATTCAAGGCAGGCTCATCAGAGAATCTGCTCACACCTGTGAGTAACCCCCGATGTGAAGGCAGGGGTGTTGGCGTGGGAAACACACAAGGAAACACAACCCAGCGTGAGACAGCCACTCGCCACCCCCCAGACTCCACGATTCTGGGGTCAACTCTTCCATGAAGACGAAGAATCAGAAAACCAACCTTGCTCGCACGTCGTCATGACAACATGACAGCTCAGATGAGACAGAGGACAGACAGATGCCCACCCCTAGGGACGGGGAGACCCCTCCCCGCATCACTGTAAGCAGCACAGGTCCCCTAACTCAACACGAGGCTCACGCACGGGGCCCTCCCTGGTTCCCTGTGTAAGGATGGGCCAGGGTCGGGTGTG